CCTCTCTGAATCAAATATATATAAAACTTAGTAGCTTAAATAATAAACATTTATTACCTTAAACAGTTTTCTTGGGTCAGGAATTTAGGAGCAACTCAGTTGTGTGGTTTTGGCTCATGATCTTTCGTGAGATGAGGTCAAGGTGTCTGCTGGGGCCCCAGTCATCTGAAGGCTGGACTGGGGCTGGCGGGTCTGCTTCCTGACAGCTCACTCACAAGGCTATTCGCAGGAGTCTCTCCTTGGGGCTGCTTGAGGGTCCTCCTGACATGGTAGCTGGCCTTTCCCAGAGTGAGCAATCTGAGAGAGCAAGACAGAAGCCACACTCGATTATGCCATAGCCTCTAAAGTTAAACTATCCCATTTGTTACCCAAGTTGGCCTGTTGAAGGATGTGAATACCAGGAGGTACAAACTATTGGGAACCATCTCGAAGGCTGGCTACCACGATAGTGTTAATAACATCTGCTCTGCCCGCCTCACAGAGCCATCGTAAGTTTTGATTGTATAACTTCAAGAAAAACCATTAATCAAAGGTGCAACTGCTAAGAGTCAAGGCAGAAGCTGCTAACAACAGCTGTACCAAGGGCTGCTGGGGCGGGACCCTGAGACCATCAGAGGAGCACAGGAGGGCCAATGAGGAAACCTGGTACCTCAGAGGCCTCCAGCCCTCTTTGCTGTCCCCATGTGAAGGTACAATGTGGAGAGGATTAGGAAGTTGGCCCATTACCTACGGGTGCTCACTGAAGGGAGGTTTTGCTCATCCACTAGTGTTCTCTCTCCAAGAAAAACAGGTGGGCAAGGCCAGGAATTCCAGGAGGGGGACTGAACAAAGATGGGGCTTGAATTGTGCCCTAGCCCTTAGTTCTGACGTTCAACTGAGTTCATTCGCCCTTCACAAACTCCAAAGGGCTGCCTAAATGAGAAGGTCATAACAATGGCAAGACTCCCCTAGGTCATTCCTCAAAGAATCTCTCCTCCTGATTTCATAAGTAGCCACACACAAAAAAGAATCAAAATATTTTCAATGCTTTGCAACTATCAGAAACAACTTCTCAAAGTTATCTAAATCTTTCCTGGTTCACTTATGCCCACTCCACTCTAAGGATATTCTGCTTACCACTGATGCATAACAAGTCACTCCGAAACATAAGGGTGAAGGATGGCAATCATCTTTTTTTTTTTATAAAATGTATTTTATTGATTTTTACAGAGAGGAAGGGAGAGGGATAGAGAGTTAGAAACATTGATGAGAGAGAAACGTCGATCAGCTGCCTCCTGCACAACCTCCACTGGGATCGAGCCTGCAACCAAGGTACATATGCCCTTGACCGGAATCAAACCTGGGACCCTTCAGTTGAGGACTAACACTCTCTCCATTGAGCCAAACCGGCTAGGGCAGCAATCATCTTCTTTTGCTCTTGATATTCTGGGTTAGGAATTCTGGACAGGCTTAGCGGGACTATCCACCTGTGGGATGTCTCATGGAGCTGCGATATGATGTCAACTGAGGGTTCAGTCATCTGAAGGTCAGTCTGGGCTAGAGGTCCAAGGTGGTGCACACTCACTGCGGGCAGCTGATGCTGGCTCTGGGCTGGAAGCTCAGCTGAGCTGTCCACATGAACGCCTTCCCACAGCCTCTCCAGCAAGGCTGTCTCAGAGTAGCTGGGTTTCTTATATGGCACTGGATTCTCCTGCAGCTGGTGCGCTGAGAGAACCAACTGGAGTCTGCATGGTCTTTTCAGTGTAACTTCTCCCATAGTTTAATAGGTATAAGCTACTGTGGCCCGCTGGGTCCAGGCGAGTCATCAGGCTGGCGCAGATGCCAGGGGCAGAGTGGCAAGGTTCCACTGCAGATGGGTGCGTGGGATGGAGAAGTTGCTGGGGTCATCTCTGGGAAGTACCATCTTCCACAAACGACTAGAATCGTTTCCCATGCTCGAAGGCCTGCATTGAGTAATCCGTGAACATCTCATTGCATAGAGTCCAAGACCCCTTAAAGATCCTCTAGGTCAGTCTCTTTGTTATAAGATGAAAAATATGAGGCCTTGAGA